GAGGATGGCCCAAGTGCTTGGGCCCCTGCACCCACATGGGAGACCCAAAAGAAGCTCCTGGCTCCTGGCTTCGGATCTGCGCAACTCCAGCTGTTGCGGCCAATTGGGGAGTGAACCAGCGGATGGATGACCTCTCTCTCTTTCTGCCTCTCCTTCTGTGTGTAACTCTTACTTTCAAATAAAAAAAAATCTCTAAAAAAAATGCTGACGTCTCCATGGGTCTCACATGAGACAGAGGTTTGAGGTGCGCTGGGGGACCTACGCCAACAAACCAGGTACAGATGCCCCGGAACTGCGTAAGGGGACGCCCATGCTTCTGGGGCCATGATTTGGCTCCAAAGCCACAACTCGCTGATGCCGCTTCATGGCACACACACTTAAATGGTTTTGCTGGGAGCTGGCGCTGTGGCATAGTGAGTAAGGCTGCTGCCTGAATATGGGCATCCCATAGGGGTACCTGTTTGAGCCCCAGCTGCTCCACTTCCGATCCAGCTCTCTGCTGTGGCCTGGTAAAGCAGTAGAAGATGGCCCAAGTCCTTGGGCCCCTGCACCCACGTGGAGACCTGGAAGAAGCTCCTGGCTCCTGGCTTCGGTCTGGCCAAGCTCTGGCCATTGCAGCCATCTGGGGAGTGAACCAGCAGATGGAAGCACTCTCTCTCTCTCTCTCTCTCTCTCAAGTAAGTAAATAAATCTTTAAAAAACAATGATTTTTCTGTCCACATCCTGGAGGAACAAAGCAGAACCTCATAGGAAATCTACCCCCACGTCATCCAGGAACTTAGACTACTTGTTAAATTTCAATTTATTTATTTTTCACTTGTATTTGAAATGCAGAGAGACAGACAGACAGACAAGACAGAGAGACCTTCCATCCACTGGACCACGCAGGGCTGGTCCAGGTCAAAGCCAGAAGCCAGGAAGTCCAGCCAGAACTGTAACGTGAGCGGCCGGGGCCCTATGGACTTGAGCCATCACCTGCTGCCTCCCAGGGTGCGCGGGAGCAGGAGGCTGGCTCAGCAGCGAAGGAGCTGGCTAGGACTTCCACAGGAGCCACAACGCCTGCCCCGAGGCCAATGTTAAGCCGCCTGGGAATGTGTGCTGCAGAGGTGCGGGGCCCTAACGATGTGTAAATCCCCACGCGTGGGCTTCCCGAGGATTTACTGATGTTGCTGCTGGATGGAAATCCTGATGACAACATAGGACCTTACCCGAGCAAGCTGTCCTTTACGGAGTTCCAACCTTGCAACAGTACCTTGAACTTCACTAAAGGGACTCGAGGGGTGGGTGCTGGACTCAGTGAGTAAGACCCCGCGTGGGTGTGCCCACCCCCATATAATTCCCCGGGCTGGAGCCCCCGCTGCACTTCAGATGTCAGTTTCCTGCTAGTGTGCACCGGGGGAGGCTGCAGATGGTGGCTCATCTGATGGGCCCCTGCCACCCATGTGGATGGAGTTCCAGGTTCCTGGCTTTGGCCTGGCCTACCCCTGGTTGTAGTGGGCATTTGGGGAGTGAATCAGAGGATGGAAGAGTTTTGTCTTTCTCAATCTGTCTCTCAAATAAATAAATTTAAATTTAAAAAGACAAACAAGGGGGCCGGTGCTGTGGCATAATAGGTTAAACATCTACCTGCAGCACCAACATCCATATGGGTGCCGGTTCAAGTCCCGGATGCTCCTCTTCTGACATGGGAAAGCAGTAGGAGATGGCCCTTTAAGAAAACAAAAACAGAAAGACAAACAGGCAAGTTGCTGGACTGGGAAGAAGGTGAGGCGAGGGGGGAGGCTGGCAGAATGTGACTGCGGCTGGGGTGAGAAGGGCAGGCGGAGGGAGGGCCGAGCTCCTGGGCACTTGGGAGAAGCCTGACCACACACCAGGTGGCTGTGATCAGAGAGTGCGAGAGGTGGGGGCTGAGATCTGAGAGGCGCAGCTGCTCGTGGTCATGGCGACTTCGGAGGGACACGGCGAGAGCGGCAGGCAGGACTCTTGTGGTCAAGGGTGAGGGCTGGCCTTGCCCTTGATGACAGCAGGACGTGACGTGGGTGTATGTGGAAGAGCCACCAGGGCTTGGTCTGTCCACACCACCAGGCCCGCAGTGCGCGGGACCCTCCCTCCCCAGCGAGAAGCCCCTGCGACCTGGGGCATGAGCTGCCACCACTGGGGGGCGCTGCCCAGCTTCCTGGTCCTCCTCCTCGTCCAGCTGCTTCCGGGGGGCAGCTGCTGGTACTTCCCTGGCACCGGGTCCCGGGCAGCTGCAGTGGGCAGTGCACAGGCAGAGCTGAGGAGGCAGGGTACGGGAAGGGGAAGTCCCTTTGGTTTCTATCTCACAGCAGGGACCTAGCAGGGAAACCCCACAGGTCCCAAAAGGAAAGTGGCAGCAGTGGGCCTTGGGGAAGACCAAGAAACCCCCATCCTCTCCCAGAAGATGGGAAATCCAGGGTGGGGCTGAGGGCGGGGCTGTGCTGGAAGAGAGCTCTGCGGTCACCCGAGCCATGACCGTGTCCTCCGCAGGGTTATTCTGGGTGCTGGCTGAGCCTTGATCCTGGCCATTGACTGAACCCTTATCCCAGCCCAGCCCCAGCCCAAGCCACAGCCTCAGGCAGAACCTTGACCGCAGACTGAGCCCTGTCTGACAGTGGGCTGAGCTCCAGGCCCGACTCTGATGGGCCACACGCGGAGCCCTGGGTCACTGCGAGTGTGCTGACCTGAAGCCCAGACAGAGTCAGGACATTCACCCCAGGCCAGGCTCGGGGTCCTGCTGCTTGCTGTAGACCAGGCTCTAGTCCTGTGTCTGACTCTGGCCAAAGACCAACATTGTTGGTCCTTCCCGGAGCCCTGACCTTGATTCCAGACTTGGCCTTTGACCTGTTCTCTTCTAGCCCTGGCCTGGTTCCTGGCATGCTGGTCCCAGCCCTAAAAACCATCAGACCAAACCCCAGCCCTCCACCAAGCTCCACATCCATCAACCCCTCTGTCAGCCATCTGGTAAACCCAAGAATACGGCTGACTCGAAGTCCCAAGGCCCCTCTGGTGGGCAGTCCCCTCACCTGTCTGTGTATCTTTTGGGCCATGGTCCAGTGATGGCTCTGGGATGATGGTGAAAGGGTGGAGAAGCAAAGAGGTGGAGGAATTCTGAGTGCTTGAGCCCCTCCCAGTGAATAGAGCCGGGCGTTGAGGGAAGGCCCGGGCTCCGGCACTTAGCAATGGGTCAGCAGTTGCGTGGACTGAAACCCCAGCTTCCCGCTACCCCCACTGTGCCTCCCACCCCCTCTGGGAAGGGAAATTACATTTCCCCATTTTAGCAAGGGGTGGTCAAGGAGGGAAGACTGAGTGAATTCAAAGCTGAAAGTACAAGCAGGACGGAAAGTGAAACCGGGCGCAGCCCCCAATATAAGACTCCCCCTACCCAGGAGATGGCTGGCCAGAGAGGCTGGGCCCTGCCATGGGCCAGACAGCGGGCAACCTCGGCTGGCGTGAGTGAGAGGCTAGGGCTGGGGGCAGAGGGATGGAAGGCTTGTCTGAGACTGGGCAGGGTGGGGTGGGGGGAGAGGGGCTCGCCTGGTGGGGACAGAGCCGAGGGGCTGGGGACCAACGCCTTGGCCAAGACGGATGACGGAGCTGGCTGGAGGGGGCGGCAATGAGGGGCGGGGGTGCAAGGCACAGGGGTTTGGCCAGGGCTGGGCAGGGGATGGAAGAGTTTGACTGGCACAAATGGGGCAGGGGTGAGGGGTGGATGGGCAGTGGTTGGGCCAGAGCTGGAAGTCTGGACTGGGTGGTATGGGCAGGCAAATGATGGAAGCAGGGCTAGGCAGGTGAGTGGAGAGGTGGGAGTGAGCGAATGGGCAGGGGCCAGACCGTTGGGCTGAGGCAGCTAGAGGAGGAGCCGACCCAGGTGGGGCCAGCAGCCTGACTCCCCCCTGGGTGTTCAGCCTGGAAGAATGGTCGATCTGCAGTGGGTGGCTGAAGCCCTCAGAGGCTAGAACCAGACAGTGCGGAGGGAGGAACAGGTGACAGGTCCCGGGAGGGGCCAAGAACTGGAGGACGGGGACAGAGGGTTCAAAGGCCAGGGCCAAGAACCCAAGGACCTGCTGCAGAGGGCCAGGGCTGGTGTGGAGGCTCCAGGCTCAGGCAGGAGGTGGACATAGGTAGGGGTGACGGCACAGCTCAGTCTGGGTGGGCAGGGTGTGGGGGGCCCCCAACATGGAGCTAAGGAAGAATCCCATGCTGCTTTAAGTCCCTGGGATGCCCGGGGATCTGAGTGGCCCCCCAAGCCAAGGACCCTGAATGCCGGAGATCTTAGGCATTGCCCACAGCAGGGGCATGGGTATCTCCAGAAACTCCCCTTAACCCTTACTGGGAGGTGGGGGGCACATTCCAGGCAGCAGAGGCTCCGGCACCACAAAGCGACAAGGCAGAGGCACCAGGCACCGGCAGAGCAGGGCCCGGCCCGCGTGGACTCGGGGTCAGTTCTGGTTTGTTTCCAGCAGCGTTGTGTAACTCCTGCGATTGCTGGATTTCCTCTCCCTGGGGAGAAACTGCTGAACACTGCCCCTTCCCAGAGCCGGCCCCCACCGCCCTGCTCCCTGCCCCGCTGCCCTCTCTTTCCAGGAAAACACAAGGCGGGATGCACCCCCAGAAATCGGCCTGCTCCGACTCCCCCCATTTTACAGATCCCCCTCACTCCCTGGGATGGAGCCTCCAGCATTGCTAGTCTGGGCCCTGGGGCCTTGTGGGGTCGCAGCCATCAGAGTCGCCTGGCTGAGTCCCGAGAGTGCTTGGCAGGACACAGCATGCCCACTCCCGGGACAGGCGCCTGCCCCCTCTCAGTTCCTGGCTCTGCATCCCGACGGATCTAGAATCCAGTCCCGGCTCCCCCCTCGCCCTCTGGCCACCCGGCTTTGAACGCGATAGGCAGTTGTACAGTTTGTTCACTGAACAAGGCAGCTGGCCAAGGGTGGTAGTAGGGGTCAAGATCCAGTCTCTGTCTTCTTGCAAATGTGGGCCTTCTGTGTAGAGATGGCACCTGGTGACCTCAATCGCCCCCTCATGTTTTTTGGGGGGAGCTGTGGGTTGATGCCTGTGACACCCCCCACCTCGCAGTGCTCGCATGCGGGGCGGGCTCTCGGCAAAGGCACAAGATCTTCCTTCTTCCACATCTTTCTCCAGCTTCTCGCCCACCCTCACCTCTCCAGGGCTCAGCCTGCTGCTGCTGTCCTTGCTCCTGGTGCGAGCCGGCGTCTGGGGATTCCCAAGGCCCCCGCAGAGCCCGCAGGAGCTGCGCAGGGAGTTCACGGTCAGCTTGCACCTCGCCAGGAAGCTGCTGTCTGAGGTTCGAGGCCAAGCGCACCGCTTTGTGAGTCTCCCTTCTGCAGCCGACGGTGGGGGTGGCCAATCCCCGAGCCCCGAGCCCCTCCGGCCCCCACTGACAGACTTTGCCCTACAGGCTGAAGCTCACCTGCCGGGGGTGAACTTGGACCTCCTGCCCTTGGGGGAGCAGTTCCCCAACGTGTCCTTGACCTTCCAGGTCTGGCGCCAGCTCTCTGTGAGTGAGGGACTAGGGGTGGGGGGGGCAGGGAGCTGCAGACGAAGCTGGGGGTTGAGTTCAGGTGGATTTGGAGACAGCTGAGGCTGAGGATGGCATTGGACATGAACATGAGGCTGGAAGAGGGAAATGGGGCTAGGGAGAAGGCAGATGATGGAACTGTCTGGGGTCCAGGGGATCAGAGAGAAAGGGGACGGGGTTGAGGTTTGGGATGAGGATGGGCGTAGAAGGGGCCTGGAGAGGAGGGTGACGGTCGAGTGGGAGGTGGTGGGGTGGGCAGGGGCCGGGAGGTGGGGGAGGGAGTCTAGAAGTGGAGGAGGGAGAATGAAGCTGGGACTGAGGAGGGAGAGAGCACAGAAACGTGAGAGCAGATGAGGAGCGCGGGTGGTGGAGAGGGGGTCCGGCAGGGGACTGGAGGAGGAGGAGGTGAGGAGGGGCCGGATCCTGGGGTTTGTACTGGATGGAGACGGGGAGGGGTTTGACACCGGTCCTCCGGGCCTCTGGGGCTCTCCTCCCCCGGTAATAGGACTCAGAACGACTCTGCTTCCTCTCCGCGGCGCTCCGGCCCTTCCGCGGCCTGCTGGGGGAGCTGGGGAGCCAGGCAGGCTGGAGCGGCTCCGAGAGGATGCGGCTGTGGGCCGCGAGGCTGGACCTCCGGGACCTCCAGCGACACCTCCACTTCCAGGTAGAGCCCCTCCCCCAGCCTGTCCTCCCCCAGCGCCTGACCTGCAGGACTGAGGCTCACGCCCTGCCCGCGGGGTGAAGCAGCCTGGAAGGGGTTGCTCCAGATTCTCTGAGTGTGAGTGTGCAAGAGCGTGCAGGCGTGAGAATGGATGGGCTTGTGGGTGAGCAGGTGTGATAGAGCGTATGCGTGTGCATGAGAGTATGTAAGAGAGCATACGAGTGCACAGGTGTGATCATGGATGAGCGTGCAAGCGTGCAAGCGTGTGTGGGTGGATGTGCAGGTGTGATAGTGTGTATGAGTGTGCGTGAGTGTGCAGGTGTGAGCGTGGAAGAGGGGTGTGAGTGCAGATGTGAGAGTGGATGGGTATGTGGGTGAGCAGGTGTGAGAGTGTATATGAGTGTGCAAGTGTCTAAGAGGGTGTGTGGGTATGCGAGATGTGCAAGTGTGTGTGTGAGTAGATGGGTCTGTGGGTGTACAGGCGTGATAGTGAGTGGATGCGCGTGCAAGCGTGTGAGTGGATGGGTGTGTGGGTGTGCAGGTGATACTGTATATGAGTGTGTGTGTGTGCATGAGTGTGCAGCTGCACCAGGCCCTGACTCTGCCCCCTACTCTGACTCCTCTTGCCCACCGCTCCTCAATGAGACAGCTGCTCTGGGGCCCCCAGGACAGCATCAGGTACCAGCAGCCCTGGTGACAACATCGGCTCTCTCCTCCCTCTGATTCTCTGACGTCACCCAGACCCTCCTCAACCTCTCAGGGAAATAGCAACTTCACCTTTAGTAAAAACAGAATAGAAAATGCAAGCAGCAGGAAGAGTAGGTACATCATCGCTCTGCCCGGCTCTGCTCCCGTGTCAGGTCCAATGAGCAGAAAGGAACCTGCTGGACCCCTCCCCCACCCCCCCAGCCCCCGGGGACAGTCCTGTGGGAAGGGCCCAGCTCTCTGACACCTTGCTCCACAACTTCCAATTTCCCAAACCAAAAAGTCAGGTAGGACCCGAGAGATGGCCACATAACGGAGGATCCAAAGTAGGGGTTGTCGGGGGAAACTGTGGCTCTGTGGTCACTGACGTCATTATGAGCCATCGGGCACCGGCGAGGGGACTTCAAAAAGTTCATGGAAAATGGAATTAAAAGATAAGCGGCCGGCGCCGTGGGTCACTAGGCTAATCCTCCGCCTTGCGGCGCCGGCACACTGGGTTCTAGTCCCGGTCAGGGCGCCGGATTCTGTCCCGGTTGCCCCTCTTCCAGGCCAGCCCTCTGCTGTGGCCAGGGAGTGCAGTGGAGGATGGCCCAAGTGCTTGGGCCCTGCACCCCATGGGAGACCAGGAGAAGTACCTGGCTCCTGCCATCGGATCAGCGCGGTGCGCCGGCCGCAGCGTGCCAGCCACGGCGGCCATTGGAGGGTGAACCAACGGCAAAGGAAGACCTTTCTCTCTGTCTCTCTCTCTCACTGTCCACTCTGCCTGTCAAAAAAAAAAAAAAGAAAAAAAAAGATAAGCTTATTTTGGTGCCAAAAATTCTGAAATCCATGCACGTTTTTCATGATGTATATTTTAATGACCTGTTTGAAGATCCCTTGTGTGCATGGATTTTGGTAAAAAAAAAAAATGTAAGATTTATCTATTTATTTGAAAGGCAGAGTGATAGAAAGAGAGGGATCTTCCATTCGCTAGTTCACACCCCAAATGGCTACAACAGCTGGGGCTGGGGCCTGGCCAAAGCCAGGAGCCTGGAAAGCCATTTGAACCTCCCACATGGGTGCAGGGGCCCAAGCACTTGGGTCATCTTCTGCTGCTTTCCCAGGCGCATTAGCAGGGAGCTGGATTGGAAGCAGAGCAGCTGGGACTTGAACCGACGCTCCAATATGGGATGCTGGCATCTCAAGTGATGACTAAACCCACTGTGCCACAATGCTGACTCCCCACCCCCACATTTTTTGCACCCCAATAAACGTATCTGTTCGTTTCAGTTTTCCATGAACTTTTTGGATGCACCCTTGACTAAGGCACGAGGATTCGCTGAGCTTCTCAGCCTGGCCACTGTCTGACCCCTGGGCTTCTCCTACAGGTGCTGGCCGCAGGATGCGACCTCCCCGAGCAAGAGGAAAGGGAAGAGGGGAAGGGGCTGCTCCCAGGGGCTCCAGGCGGCCCCTCCCCAGCGTGGGCCCAGCTGTCCTGGCCCCAGCTCCTCTACAACTACCAGCTGCTGCACTCCCTGGAGCTCGTGCTGTCGCGGGCTGTGCGGGATTTGCTGCTGCTATCCAAAGCCGGGCACCCTGTCCAGGCCTTGGGGCTCCCACCACCCAGCCCCAGCCCTGACCAAGGCACTTCCGAGCCCGTGCCCCTCACCTTTTAGGGCTGGAATCATGGCCAACGGGACAGGGTCCAGTTCATTGCCTTGGACCAGGCGGGGCCCCTCCACCGGCCCCCAGCCGCAGGCCCCACCCAAAAACTCCAGCCCCTTCAGTCCTTGCCAGTATTTATTTCTTGGATATTTATTTATTTAGTGGGGAGATGATGGTTTATTTATTGTATCGTCCTTGGGCTGGGCCACCATGGTGGGTCCTAATAAAGCCCTCTTACCCTCACTCTGGTCTCTGTTTCTTTTCAGAGAAGGGGGACCGGCGCCTGTGGGGCAGGAGGGCCTGGGAGGGAGTTGGTGGCCCCTATTCTCCCTGGGCCTCTCCCTCTGCACCTTCATTTTTGGGGTTCCTTACCCATCGTCCCCACCTCTGGCCTGCACAGCTGGCGGTTGCCACAGTAACCAGTTCTGAGACCAAGTGACTGTTCCGGATGCTCCAGACACTGGTCTGTTACCCATCAACCTTTGCTTCCTAGCGGTGCTCCCCAGGTCCCCTGAACCTGGCTTTGACCCCCAAAAGTGACAGAGGTGTCACAGCCAGCAGAGTGCATGCAGAGTTTGGGAGCAGAAAGACGAGAATCATCTCTGTCCCCTGTCCTTTGTCTGGGCCCCCGAGCAGGCTGGGGAGGTCGGCAGGGCAGGGACCCGTGGGTGGTGGTTCCAGCAGGGTAGGTGGTCCACAGCCACACTCAGGAAGTTCAAGGTCTTTGCAGATGTCTGCTTTTGTCTGCGCCACAAAGAACACACTGAGAAACTGAGGCTCGGGGAGGGGAACACGTGTGTCTAAGGTGACAAGGGGCGCTGGAGGAGAGCGGGCCTGGGGGTCTTCTGTCCCCTCCTCAGGGTCTGACTCTCGGGGTGTCAGCTCCCCATCACTGTGGCTTCGGCCGGCCCAGGCGGGCTTGCAGCTCCTGCATCATGCCAGGGTGTGCAAGGCCAAACCTGGAGACAGAAGACAGGTCATGCGTGCTGTCCCCAGGGACCCCCAGCACCCTGTGTGTCCCCACCCAGTGCCCCCACGCCTACCCTTGTCCCAGGGGCCTCCTGGCTGGCACTGGGGTCCCTTCAGGCCTTGGAGGGCTTGGTTCCTGGGGTTCCTGTGCCTGGAGAAGTCTCTCCGCAGGGGCCGACGGCCCCTCCTCGGGTTGCGGGCTGTGAGGTCCCTCCTGCTCCTTGGGGCCGGGAGTCCGCCGGAAGGAGGGCCGGGAGCGACGCTGGGATGAGCTCCGGGACAGGAGTGCGCGGCTCCGTGGGACAGAGACGTCCAGGCGCGCGCCAGGGAGCAGGTCCTGCAGGCGAGGGGCTCAGAGGACTGCTGGGCCGGCTTCCAGAGCCTTCTGGCTCCCGCCCTGCACCCCGCCAGGAGCCCTCACCTCGCTCCAGCTGCTGCAGGCATCAACGCCAGCGTCTCCCAGGGCCTCAGCAGGGGCCAGGGCTGGTGGCGGCCCTGCCTTGCTCTGGATGGCTACCACACCTTCTGGATCCGAGTCTTCGGCCCCCACCCGCTGGTCTCCAGTCACCTGGATGCCCTCGGTAGGGAGTCCCCAGGCCTCTCCCTCTGGGCGATGCACCCCGCACCACCCCTCACTTTGCTCACTTGCTTGCCTTCCCCCCGCCTCTTCTTCTAGATGCTTCCACTCTTCCCCCCTTCCCCCCGCCTCTTCTTCTAGATGCTTCCACTCTTCCCCGAGAGTCTCCACTAGGGCTCCGAGCTCCTCTGCCCTGGCTGCCTGGGAGCCCGAGCTATGGTGACCCATCCTGTCACTCCCTTCTGCCACCGGCGATGCCCCCACCTCGGCCTGCTCCTCTTCCCTGGGCCCCCAGGTCTCCGTGTGGTCCTCTCTGCCTGTCACCTCCTCTGCTGGGCCCTGCGGGCTAAACTCCTGTCCTGCTTGGGTCTCTCCCTCTGCAGCCTGCACCAGCTCCTGGCCTCCGCCAGCCTCCTCCCTCCCAGCTGAATCCCAGCCTCTCTCAAATGCCCCCAGCCCAGCCGCCCCAGCCTCCCTTTCAGTCCCCTCGCTGGCCTCAGCGGTGCTCACACCGGGCACGGCTGCATCCTGCATGTTCTCTTCCGCTGAAGGAGTGGGTGGCGCGGCCCCGCTGTCCTGCAGGCTCTGAGCCCCCTCCTGTGGCCTGCAGCCCACCCCAGGAGTTCCATCTGCCTCCCACTGCCTGTCTGTGGTCTCTCTGGCCTCTGACTGTCCCGGGAACCAGCCTGTCCCTTCCCCTGTCCCGTGGCTTCCGGTCACCTCTTGGTTCTCGGCCTCAGAGGCCTCGCCCTCCCCAGCTCCACACCCAGTTTCTTTTGCTCTCTCCCACTCTCCACCTGCGTTGCCCGGGATCTCCCCGCCTCCTTCCTCCTCGGCCTCGGCCTCCGGGGCCTGGCCTCTTGCGGCCACCTCCGGCACTGTGTCCCCTCTTTCCTCCCAGGTGTCCCTCCTCTGGTTTTCCCAGGCGTCTGCCTCCGGGACCTCGGGCTTTGCAGACCCCACGTGCCTGGAACATTCCTCTGTCCTCGCTTCGCTCAGGGCTGCTCCTCTCCCTGGCCCGCTCCAAGCCCCCTGTTCCTCCTCCAGCAGCTCTGTTGGGGTCTGGGCACCTCCCGTCAGCTTCCAGTCCTGGCCCCCAGAGCCCCACTCCTCCCCCAGTGCTTCTTGGCTCCTCTGCACCTCCTCGCTCTTCCTCTCCCCTGCCAACTCCTCCTCCTCGGGCCTGGTCTCTGGGGCGGCCTCCAAGTCAGCATCAGGGTGCGCCTCTTTGTCAGGCGGCAGCTCAGTCTCTGTGGCCCACTGACTCCCTCTCTCCTCCTGGGTCTCCTCTGCCCACACTGCCTCCTGCACCCTGGGCGCATCAGCCCCGAATTCCAGGTCCTGCCTCTCTACCGCCTCTGCGCGGAGCTGGCTGGCCTGGCCCCCAAAGCCCTGCTCTGCCTCCTCCTGGCCTGCGGCAGCCTCCCCAGCTGCTGTGGGGCCCTCAGCTCCCAGGGCCTGGGTCTGCTTGTGGAAAAGGCTCAGCGCAGCCTCTGTCTTCTCATCTGCCTCCTCCTCTTCCTCCTCCTCTTCCTCCTCCTCCTCCCCCTCCCGGGGGGTCTCCTCTTGGACCCAGCTTCTCCCAGAGGCCTCTGGGGCCTTTTCCCTCAGGACTGGCCCATAGCCTGTCTCCCTGACTCCCAGGAGCTCAGCCTCCTCCCTGCTCGGGGCTGTGCAGGCCTCCGCCTCCTCTTGCTCCTCCTCCTCCCTGGCCAAGGCTGTCCCGCCCTGCTCCTTGCCCAAGGCTGCCCCGTCCTCAGCCTCTGCCCCAGTGCTCGGGCCACTTCTCCCCACTGCCACTCCCTCTTCTCTCTCAGCCTCCTGGGCCCCAGGCTCCTCCGTTTCCTCGATGTCGCCTCCTGCCACCTGCTGCCCCTCCTGGCCAGCAGCACCAGCAGTCCCCTGGGGCTCTCTGTGCCAGGTCCACTCTGGCTCCGCCCCTCTGGCCATCCCTGGCACTCCTGCCCGGACCTCTTCCTCCTCCCCCTCCTGTTCCCAGATCCTCGGCGGCTCCCCCCTGCTCACTTCCTGTTCTCTGGGCTCCTGCCTCTCCTGGGCTTGGCTGCTGCTGTCCCGGTGAGCCCCAGACATCACATGCTCCAAAGAGGCACTCAGCTCCTGGCCCCTGGCAGCCTGGGCTGCCTCCCCAGCCCCCGGGGCCTGCCTCTCTGCCCAGGACCCACGGGAGCTGCCTTCTCCCCACCCCGGGGGCTGTTCTGCCGCTGAGTGTTCCTCCTGGCATCTTCCCGCCTCTCCACCTGCCTCGCTTGGGCTGCCACTAAGACCCTCCAGCGCCTCTTGGGCTTCCTCCTCCACAACCTCCCCCAGCTCCGCGGCTGCCCGTGCCTCCCTCTCTACCGTGGGGACCTCATCTCCCATGAGGTAGGAGACAAAGGCACTGAAGGAATCCTAGGAAAAAAAAAAAAAGAGAGAGAGAGAAATGTGGGCAGAGGCATTAAGGGGAGGCCCAGCCCTTCCCAGAAGGCCCCGGGCCAGGGGAGCCCCCAGGGAAATGAAGCAAGGGTTTTGGATGTGGGAGAGAAAGGAAACAGAATCTGCAGGGGGGGACAGGAAAGGAGCCCAGGTTACAGGTGTGTGTGTGTGTGCGCGTGCGCGCACGCGCGTGTGACTCGAAGGACAGAACAGATCGGGCCAGGAGGCTGCCGTGTTTTGCGAAAGGAATCTGTAGCAGGGAAAGAAAGGTTCCCAGGGAGTGGGGTGAAAGCCTTGGACACCTCCTTGCCCCCTTCTCACCAGTGCCCCTCTCCAGGCCTGACGCAGCCCAGGGAGGTAGAGCCGCAGGAAGTCCATTCTGTCTGTCTCTGTGTCCAGAAAGCTGATAATGACCGTCCACACCCGCCAAGGCAGCCCAGGACCCAAGACACTTCCTCTTCCCCTGTCTCTCCCTGACACATCCCCACCCCAGGCCCTGCCCACCTTCCCCACACCCACAGTAGCCTACACCCCAGGTCTGGGTGTGGGTGTGCGTGCATCTCCCAAGGGACACATGTGGAGTTAATGGGCTGGGGAGGGGCGGGAGGAGGGAGGGCAGAAAGGAAAAAGTGGGAGCAGGAGACCTCAGGATTTGGGATGGGGGAGGGGACACGGGGCCACCGCCTCTCTAGTGACTCAGGTCTTGTATTCACACCTCAGCCATTTCCGTCTCCCCCAAGCCACAGCCACTCTGGGAGAGGAAGCTGGGGTTTGTGGTTCCTGTTTTGCTTGGGGACAGGAGTAGGAGTGAGGAGGGGGCGGGTGGCAGGCCTGGCTTCTCATTTCCACACAATTAGTGCTTTCCCAAGGGGACAAAGCGGTTGGGTTCGTGGTGGCTCCAACCCCCATGTCTTCTTTTCGGGTTATTTTTGCAGAAGAGAACTTGGCTGAACTCTGCATTGTTGTATGTCAGCCTCTCACCCTCCTGTGGATTTCCTGAGGGCAGGGGACAGGTACACAAGGCTACTCTATAGGGCTCTGCGCGGGTAGCAGGATCCCGTTTCTCATCGGTTGAGCAACCTGGGAAACACGCCATAGAGGGCACATTTTCAAACAGCAGCGTGAAGAGCCAGTGGTGGGAAAGGGCTGGAAGTGGGCCCAGGCTGTTGGAAGCCATCGCTGAATTTAGCAGGGGAAGGACGTGTTGAAGAGAATTCAGGATGCTGATTTCCCACCTAGAGGAAGGTAAGGGCGCAACTTCTTACTTGGGACTCTGTGACGTGACCTTGATTTTACCTCTGTTCCTCATCCCCCAAGCGCCTAATGTCCAGTTAGGGCACTTGGATGAGCTCACACAATGATCTTGGGCCCGGAATGATCTGGCGTAAGCGTGCTTGGTGGAGTGGAGGCATGGCGTGCTGCCTCTAGTGCTGTGTTTCTTGTCGCTAACTTTGTGTGCTCTTCAGTAACTCTGTGTGCGTGTGTGTGTGTGTGTGTGTGTGTACGTGTACGTGTGTATGTCTGTCTGTCTAGGCTTTCTTATCTGTAAAACCTGGGGCTGCACAACTTCCAGGATATTTCTTGGTTCTAAGAAAATTTGGAATAGAGGATCTCTTCAGGCCCACAATAGATAATTGTGGAGACCCACAATAGATAATTAATGAAACCTCCATAGCAGGCTGTTATCTTTATTTTAGGTTTCTAAAAATAATTGAAGCAACAGAGTCGAATGAGCGACTTTGAGAAAAGTAGAAAGCAGATAAAGGTGAGAGAGAGAGAGAGAGAGAGAGAGAGAGAGAGAGAGAGAGAGAGAGAGAAAAGAAAAAAGGAAAAAAAAAGTGCAGGTGGCCATATTTGTTGTTGGCAAGTGAGGGCCGCGGGAAAGGAGCTGAAGCCGCTCGCAGCCATGACTAGTGCTGGCAGTATTACGTCAAGGCCTTGAGGACAGCCAATCTAACATCGCGGCTCTACTGGCTGCTCCTACCCGTTCCAGTGTAAAAGCAGGGGTTCCTGGCCTCTCCTTTTCTCACCTTCCAAAGCCTACAGCTTAGCAAGGGAAAAGACCCGGAAGTAGGGAGGACCTCCGCGCACGTGATGGGGGACCCGCGAGGGCTATCACGTGACCCGGCAACCCGCTGCTCCGCGGTGCGGAACGCTCGTTCGTTCTTAAAGGTACAGGCCGGGGACGCTCTCTTTCCAGGGGGCGGGGGCAAGTTGGCTGGGCGGGGGCGTGGTGGGGGCGTGGGAGGGCGCGAGACAGAGCCCCGGGCTTGCCTGATGGATTGCGGGGCGCGAACGCAGCAGACCAGCGGGGGCTGCGATGGCCGTGGGGCGTTGAACCTTCTCACCTGTCGCAGACCCTCACCCGCCCGGTGGGAGCCAACCCTGAACTCTCGCCGACTTGGGGCTCCTCGGGGGAGCTGCGCTTGAGGCCATGGGAAGCCGTGCGGGCTCGCAGCGGCTCCGCTCGGATTCCGGGGGTGAGTATTGCGGCGCGTCCTCCGGGAGCGGCCACTTATGCCCCGCGACCCACCCGAGGGGCTCGGGAGCCGGCTCGGCCCCGGGAGAACAGCCGGGGGGCTGTCGTGCACCTGAGGGCGGCGCGAGGGGTCCTGCCTGCTTGTTCTCTCCCTCGCAGGGGAGGAGACGGACACGGAGCCTGAGTCCCCTCGGTGGGACGATCGGACCGCGCATTGGAGGAATGCAGCGGGCTTCTGGTGAGTGGTCTGGGGGTTCAGCCCAAGCCAAAATGGGGTGAGAAGAGGGAAGCGACAGGAGGAAAGGGGGGAAGAAGGAGCTGAATCAAATATTGACCCAGTGCGTCGGTTTGCCCGGGGCAGCTGCCAGCGCTTTTTCAAGCTTCACCTGTTTACTTACCACCTCCGAGCTGGCCGGATCCTCCTGGCCTTGGAGCTTTCCGCCAGCCAGTCCAGCTGTAAAATTCTTTAATGCAATTATTTTTAAGAGAAAACTTTTAGGCCGGCGCCGTGGCTCAATAGGCTAATCCTCCACCTTGCGGCGCCGGCACACCGGGTTCTAGTCCCGGTTGGGGCGCCGGATTCTGTCCCGGTTGCCCCTCTTCCAGGCCAGCTCTCTGCTATGGCCAGGGAGTGCAGTGGAGGATGGCCCAGGTGCTTGGGCCCTGCACCCCATGGGAGACCAGGAAAAGCACCTGGATCCTGGCTCCTGCCATCGGATCAGCGCGGTGCGCCGGCTGCAGCGGCGGCCATTGGAGGGTGAACCAACGGCAAAGGAAGACCTTTCTCTCTCTGTCTGTCTCTCTCACTGTCCACTCTGCCTGTCAAAAATAAAAAAAAAAAAAAAAAGAGAGAGAAAACTTTTATTGATTTATATGAAAGTGTTACAGAGAGGGAGGGAGAGACAGAAAGAGAGAGAAGAGTCTTCCGCGCACTGGCTCACTGTCCAACTGGCCCCAGCGGTCAGGGCTGGGCCAAGCTGGAGCCAAGAGTTTCATCCGGGTCTCCAACGTGGGTAGCAGGGGCCCAAGGACTTGGGCCATCCCCAACTGCTCTCCCAGGCCTTTAGCAGGGAGCTAGATGGATCAGAACTGGGGGCAGCTGGGACACAGACCAGCGCCCATATGGGATGCCGGCACTGCAGGCGGCTCTACTTGCTGCGCCACAATGCCAGGCTGCAAAAGAAAACTTGTGAAATCCAGATGGAAGAACCGGTATTTTTCCTTGGTGCACGTTTAAATAAATGCATCCGGGGTGAAACTTTTTCGAAGGTCATTGCTTGCCTAAGCTCACTTGAATACCGAGCATTGGAAAACACATGGAGCGTGAGTTTTAGCAGCGGGGACTTGCGTGGCACATTTGAGTTGGCCGTGGGTTCCTCTGTGACCCTTGAGAAGACTGACTTAGCATCGCTGAGCCCGCTTCCCTCTCAGTGAAATGGGAAGAGCAGTAGTGCCTCTTCCTAGGATTCTGAAAAGGATGCCTGGGAGACCTGTGGCACGAGATCTAGTTTCTTTCCCTTCATGGTATGGAACTGCAGGAGAGGAGAGTAAGTGAAAGACACTTTCCAGGGTCTTAAGGGCCTTGGTATTTTTTTTTTTAAGACTGATTTTATTTATTTGCAAGGCAGAGTTAACAGAGAGAGAGAGAGAGAGAGAGAGAGAGAGAGGAAGATCTCCCATCTGCTGGTTCACTCCCCCAAATGGCCACAATGGTCAGGGCTGGGCCAGGCTGAAGCCAGGAGCTTCTTCCGGGTCTCCCACGTGGGTGGCAGAGGCCCAAGCACTCGGGCCATCCTCTGCTGCTTTCCCAGGTGCATTAGCAGGGAGCTGGATCAGAAGTGGAGCAGCCGGGACTTGAACCGGCGCCCTTGTGGAATGCTGGCATCACAGGCAGTGGCTTGACCTGCTGTGCCACGGCGCCGGCCGCAGCTTTGGTATTATCTTATTTTGATCCGTGAGGGGGTCGAAAGAGAAATTAGTGTCCCCGTTTCATACACAAGGGGACTCCAGTAGGAAGCATGGGACAGGAGCACAGTCCCTTGGGTCTCAAGCCCTGGGACATTTATTTATTTATTTTCGTTGCGCCACCCTGTATCAGTGGATGAGGGATGTCCTGGAGCTGAGGGGCAGGCGGGCTCAGAGGAGAGTGACCAAGGATGGTTTCGGGGTGAGGTCTTGGAGAGCGGAAGCGATCCCAGGTCTGTGAGCCCAAAGCCCGTGCTTCTGCTCCCACACCCAGTGAGGACAGGATGTGGCGGTAGAGAGGGGGAAGGGAAAAAAGGAGGGGGTTGGTGGGGGGGCGGTTTGGTGTGGGGACTGTGGTGGGGTCGCAGGCCTGGAGGGGAGCTGAGACCTGCGCTCACCCCAGGATCCTGGGTCTCTGCAACAACTTCTCCTACGTGGTGATGCTCAGTGCCGCCCATGACATCCTCAGCCACCAGGGGTCACCAGGGAACCAGAGCCACGTGAGTGACCCCTGCCCCCTGACCACCACCACCACCACCACGCTTAGTCTCACCCTGGGCCAGAAGCCCCCTTGAAAAACTCACCGAGTGGGTGGCCAAGGAGTGGGGGGTAGGGGGCTAAGTGTCCAGTCTCCTAGGCCTCAGAACAAGGAGGGTCTTTATGAGACCAGAGGGTGGCAGGCGTGCAGACTCACGTGTGACCGGTGGGACAGCCGTGTGTGACAAATTCTGAACCTGGGCCCTGCTGACAGCTGGGGCTGGGTGAGTCTGTTGGAGGCAGTCCTGTGCATCATAGTATTTAGCACCATCCACGTGCCTCTCTCTGCCTACATGGTGCCAGTAGACCTGGAGGGTCTCAGACAGCCAAGGGTGTCTACAGACCATGGCAGGTGTTCCTGGTGGGGGGGGGGGAGTGACACCACCCCCAGCTGAGAACCACTTGTCGGTGGTGAGCAGGAAGCTGTGCGTCCCATCCGAGGGCACCAGCCACCAGCGTACAGGTCCACCAGGGATTTGGCCCAGGAGCAGATTGTTCTGGAACACCAGGTGTCTGTGTGAAAG